ATTATGTTTTTTCAGCTAAAATAATATCCAAACGAAACAATAAACTCATAAAACATTATTTTAAGGCAAATTTTTATATGAAATACAATATATTTTTTTATTGATCAATAATAATAATCATTTAAAAATAAAATTGTATTAGAAATTAAATTATCGCAAAACGACTCATCATACAATCAGCTTTGATTGATTGATTTTGATGTTTTATTTCTGAACCTTCATAGAGCTTTAATTCTAGACGAATCTTTTTGTATATCAAAATACTTTTTTTATCTTCTTTCGAATTTAAAGGAAATGATATAAAAGAATGCAAAAGGAACACATCGCTAAATGGGGAATTATTTGAGATGACGTTAATGAAGAAAATAAATATCATAATATGTCGATAAATAACAATTTTTATTCTTTGATCCTTTTATCATGATTCTTTTATTTTATTACTATATTATTTTATTGTTATAAAGGAGAATTATTTTGTGTTAAAGATGTTAACATCACAATATTATAATTGCCCCTAACTAGACTGTATATATTAAAAATTTCACTGCCTATATGTATATTATAAATCCTTAAACTATTGGAAAGATATTACAAAAAATCAAAGAACTATCAGCACATATCATGAGATCATTCAAATAATAGTATTAATATTAAAAACCGTATATTGATGTTTAACCTGGCAACAAATACATAATTATTTTATTACTAACAATTAGTTGCTAACATCGTCTGGTACATGTAAGATAGGATGAGGCCATAATTAAAAACATAAAAACGGTACATACATAAACCTTTAGCCAATATTTGATAACAAAACTTAAACAATGTCAGTCACTAGACGATAAGGAATATCTGCAAGTGCAGCTGTTATTTATAGTTATATCTTCTACTAGATTTAAAATTAAGTTATAAATTATTTTGCTCATTGTAACTATTTTTATATTTAAGCCTGTCATGTTGTTTAATGATATCTAAGACTTTAGCGAGTATTCATTTAAATGAAACTAATATATTCGGATTACTACGCGTTACTTTGTTATTTTTAAAACTACATACTCCCGACGATTCGGTTACTGCAACGTATATAGTTTTAAAAATAAAAAATAACCAGTGTAAACCCAAAATATTAGTTTTATTTCATATTGCTCCTAAGAAATCTGTAGAACAAAATATATAAGACCCTATATTTTCAAAGTCAAGAATTTCCATTAGAGGAATGTATTTTTACATCGCGAAATAACTGTTGTGCCGGTATTCATTTTAGAATGGACTCCTGAAATAACTGTGTTTATTTTTTTTTCGATATTAACACTTACTAATATAAATGGTGCACAATTACGATTATATAATTTTTAATTTTTCAAATACAAAAGTAATTAAATGTGCATTTCTTTTCCTAAATATTAATTAATACTTGCACTTCTATGTTTCAGGATTGAAAATGTTATTTCACACTCAAGTGTTCCGATTGTCTCCTCAATTCTGGTAAAAAATCATTTATTATTTTAAAAGATCATTAAAAATATCATAAGTTTAGGTTTTATAGGTAAGATTTTCTACTTTTTAACTAAAACCTCACAATTTTATATAATAATACATTTTAGTATAAATGGCAATAATCTTGATATCAAAGAGGTACCTCAAAGAAGATTTTTTGTTAAAATCAAATTCTTTCATTAATAAATGGCTTCTTAAAAATTTATTAAAATTTTTATTTTGAAAATATCTTGCATTAAATAGTAAAAATATTACCCACAAGAAATAAAGTATTGTTAGATATTTTAATAAAAAAATACTACTTAGTTAAGACGCAAAGAAGAAAATTCTCATTTACCTTTTATCTACTAACCATTAGTAAGCAACTATATATAATCCGAATATATTAGTTTCATTTCATATTGCTCCTAAGAAATCTGTAGAACAAAATATATAAGACCCTATATTTTCAAAGTCAAGAATTTCCATTAGAGGAATGTATTTTTACATCGCGAAATAACTGTTGTGCCGGTATTCATTTTAGAATGGACTCCTGAAATAACTGTGTTTATTTTTTTTTCGATATTAACACTTACTAATATAAATGGTGCACAATTACGATTATATAATTTTTAATTTTTCAAATACAAAAGTAATTAAATGTGCATTTCTTTTCCTAAATATTAATTAATACTTGCACTTCTATGTTTCAGGATTGAAAATGTTATTTCACACTCAAGTGTTCCGATTGTCTCCTCAATTCTGGTAAAAAATCATTTATTATTTTAAAAGATCATTAAAAATATCATAAGTTTAGGTTTTATAGGTAAGATTTTCTACTTTTTAACTAAAACCTCACAATTTTATATAATAATACATTTTAGTATAAATGGCAATAATCTTGATATCAAAGAGGTACCTCAAAGAAGATTTTTTGTTAAAATCAAATTCTTTCATTAATAAATGGCTTCTTAAAAATTTATTAAAATTTTTATTTTGAAAATATCTTGCATTAAATAGTAAAAATATTACCCACAAGAAATAAAGTATTGTTAGATATTTTAATAAAAAAATACTACTTAGTTAAGACGCAAAGAAGAAAATTCTCATTTACCTTTTATCTACTAACCATTAGTAAGCAACTACACTAAGTATCTGCAATTTACATAGTTATATTTTAACCAGGGAATGGCTGTAAAGTTTTAGTTTAGACCAAAATCTTTTAATACGAGAGTACTACTGCAGGTTTCTAAAGTAACAAGTTTTGGGATATAATGTCGTTTTACCATATGATAAAAGTTTCTTTCATTAACTCCAGAATGAAACATAACAACAGTAGATTTTAGATATTAAATAATTTATTAATATGTGATTAAAAGATTGGATAATTTAAATTGGTTAGTAACGATACTTACAAAAATCTTAAATTTCAGTTTAATAGAATATATTTGGATTTATTTTTAGGAAAAACAGTACAAAAGCATCATAATTGATCGACGGGAAGCTGTCAAAAGAAGCCTAATAATACATGTCAAGTAATTAGAAACTAACCAAGGTTATTCTTAGTTAATATAAGAGTAAATAAAAAGAAAAATGTGGGGTAAAGTAGTATAGTATGTAAACATAATAAAAATATTTAAGCAATTTGAAACATTTTTTTAATAGTTTTAAGTGTCAATTATATTTTATTTTTAAAACTCTTCGTACAAATAATTCAATACATTGTACATAAATGTATGGAAGAAAGGACTTGCCTAAATATATTATATACAATTAATAGAATCAATAACTAATTAGCACCTATTCACACCCACAGTCTTACATGGAGTTTGAACGCTTTCAATGTAATAAATTGAAGGGATTAATGAAAATTTAATTGCCCTTAAATAATTTTGCTCTGTCTCTTGCGTATAGAAATAGGAAAATATACCCATTTGTATTGAGATATGTATTGTTAAAAATGTTATATTTCTCTAACTATAATATTACTCACATTACAAAAGATAAACTAAGATATTGAGTATCTTATAATTTTCGTTTAACTATATTTCGGTAAGTTATTATTGTAGTGTCTTAAAGTGATATATTTGACTAATCTCATTCGCGGGTCACATTTCAATCACAAAGATAAATTTATCTTACATTTGTCTATTAATAGTAAGTGGTATTAGCTTCTTTGTGACTTGAATCTATCACGAATTGTATTTATCAAGTACAGGATATTTCTATCCAATATACACAAATTGCAATCGTCACTTTAATTATCTTATTTCCAACTCAGAGTTGACGGTTTGAAAATAAATTAAAAATATTAAATATTTAAGTATTGTTAATTATAATTGAGGGTCATAAAAAAGTTGATAGGTAGATATAAAATAATTTATTGTACAGCTTATAAGGCGTCAATTTCCCACAAGCAGAGCGTAGATATTTGGAACTTTGAATATTACAAAGCTTTAATCCACCATTGAATATAACCTATGATAGCTTATATTTTTATTCATTCTATTTTAAATTATTTTGGTGCAAATTATCATGCTTTTTTGAAATAGATTTCACTTGTTGATAAAATTGGCACAAGATTATGAAAATGTGGTAACTAAATACATACGACAATTTTAATATAATTTCAAGTGGATTTCTATGGGTGCTTTTTATGGTAGTTTAGTTTTTGTATTACGTGTTTATTATCTTGAGTGTTTAGTGTTTAATAATTCCTTTTTTGATTCAGGAAGATAAAAATGGTACAAGAATCTATGATGAATATAAATCTCAAATTTCTTGCCTGAATGTAACTTAACTGCCATGTAAGAAAAATGGGGGAGATGTAAGCATTCTATTTATACTCATAATGTTACCATTTCCTCTTTTGTCGCTACTTACGAAGATAGGTATGTAATATATTCGTATCGTTTATTTGATATATATTTTACATTACAACTAATATGCATCTTTCCACATAATGTAGAGATATGTTTATTGATTTATTTCTAAATTGAATGACATTTATGATTATCACGTGATAGCCGCGGATTTTAAAACATAACCTAATCTAAATCATTTTCATATTAACGAACTTTAAATTCAAACTGATAATTTCAATATGAGTTAATTTTAAATTTCTAGCATCAGTTATATTGGGACCAGCTATATAATGTAAAGTTTGTTTCCGTATATTATTTAATACCGAAAGTTGACCATTTGATCTACCTAGAATTCTCGCCAATCAGCAGCACACGCCTTTCTTTAAGATCGTGACTCCCTCCTTTCCGATGTTTTAGTCAATCATACAAAAGAAAAACAAGATAGTTTTTTGCATGTTTAACAATCGTATGAACAATAATTAACTATTTCGAACAGCCAGAAAATTATCTGAACTCATTCGCATTCTCACAAAATAAATTCAATAAAACACTGGTAAATAAAAACTGTAGTTTATAAGAACAAATAACAATTACAATTTCCAAAAAAAACACTAATAATTAAATAACACCTTGTACAAAAATAATAAAAAACAAATTGATCTAGAAAACACTCCTTAATATGCAAAGGAAATTTCTAAGCCCTTTGACATCTTGACAGTTAACTGGTGTTGCAACTGTTTTTCCATTTGAAGAACCATCACTATTGGGCATAATTTTATAATTTTCACTAAAATTTGAACCCATTTCAGTTTTAGATACATTAGTATCATTCAGGGTCATGACTGGCGAACTGTCGTTAAGCCACGGTAACCATCTGTAACCGAAATTTTCTGGATCGGCTCGAGGGTCTATCATTGCTGGACCTCTTTTTAATTGCATTGACCACAAGGTCCTCAATCTACTCCACAGTATATCTGTTATCTTAGTTCCTCTACTCCATAAGTCGTGACTCTCCGATGGATCTAGTTTAACATTGTATAGACATCCACGTTCTGCAAGAAAAGAATTGGACTTTCAGTACATATACATAAGGAAGGAAGGAAGATAAGTCTTCGTTGAAAAATTCATAAAACTTACCAGGCCTAGGCTCACATGGAGTCAGATCTCGTACTGGGTCTATTTGTTTGATAATACTTGCTTCTCGCATAGCCAACACTTCTTCGTAGTCCAATTTCATATTCAATGATTGAAAACCTTAGCTACCTCTGAAGATTTAAGAGTAGCAAAATAATCAGGTGGGGACGATCTATAGGTCATGAGGTCAGCCCCATAGTATCCATTGCTCACACCAGTCACATTTCCAACAACGATCTTATAATCACCAGCTCTGAATGCAGCGTAAACATTGGCATCACTGTCTTCAATAGCAATCAATACTTCTTTTCTTTTAGGTTTTGCATCTTGTGATATAGAATCCCACTGATTAACACCGTCAATCTGGACATTCACTTCACCTCCAACAGCCCCCATGAGAGTGGGAAGCCAATCGGTAACGTGCATAAGTCCATCCCAAACTTTTGGTCTTAATGAGGGATGCCATATAAAGGCTGGGACTCTAACGCCTCCTTCCCAAGGACTTTGTTTCTTTCCTCGAAAAGGTAAATTCACTCCCCAATTATTAAGCATACCTACAGTCGGGGCTCCATTATCAGACGCGAATATAATAATAGTGTTTTGCAACATTCCTTTATCTGCTAAAGCCTTCACAACTCTTCCAATACTAAGGTCCAAATGAGTAACCATTTCTGAAAATAAATAGAAAATAATTCTAAATAAAAATATCAATTTCACGATATGAAGTTTCGAGGACTTTAACAATACAATAAAGTAATGTACATACCTGCATAGAGTCTTCTATCAGAATGTGCAATATGTTGATTCCTCTTGGACAGTGGTACTTTTGGAGGCTGGAGCAGCCCTCCATCATTACCCGCATGAGGTACGTTATGCGCCAAGTGAAGGAACATTGGACTTGAGTCATTGTGATTTTGTATGACTGTAATAATTTTTATAAATGTCAATAAAAAAAAACCGAAAATTTTTATTGGAGACGTATTAGAATGTATAAAAGTAAACTTAGTAATAGCGACAAGATACTTTACTAAAGTTAATAATTTTTAGACAAGACTATTTTTAATTAAAGATTTTATTAAATTTGAACAAACCAAAAAATATTATGATATTTTAATACATTGAACTATATATGATACCTGGTCAAGAACAAACTATAAACTATTTATCAATAATGATAATATAATATAACAATATAAATATAATTAAATGTATTAAATAATGCTATCTCTTGTTTTTTATTTTAAATATCTCACAATGCAAGGAAATATAAATTAATTATTTTTGTAATGGTCTATTAAATAATCTTGGTGTATAGTGCGTTTGATTAAAGGTGAGCTTTGCATTTGTGTGAGTGCACACGGATAGTGTAGGTGTGATGTCAAATTTTTGAATGCTACGTTCTTTTCTAGTTTTGATCCGGTTTATACTGCTTTTACTCCGCCCCGTACCTTCCACACTTCACCGTTTGTAATGGTAGCAACGTCAAATGTTGAAAACGCAATGTCAAGTGAACAAAAATTTGTGTTGTTTTTTCCAAATTTTATTACTTAAAAATTTTTGTTCCATAATATTTCCATGGGGCCTTTTACAAGTTTTGGTTATTTTATTTTTAATCTAGAATTGACCTAGTACTTATGGTTTGTATTTATTTAAAATATAATAGAATTTAATTCTAAATATTTTTGTTTAACTCTACTTTTACTATCACAAATGTAAAGCTCAGCTTAAGTCTAACAGACTATATCCATCTACATATGACCCTAATGTCTGATTAAATACGATATTCTTTTCTGTGTCTTCTATGGCAATGTTACTGTAGTAGACATTTCAAATAAAATAAAATCTCTTTAAGAAAATATAGATTTTTAAAATATAAAAACTAGGTGAATGTGACAGAGAGACGTTCAATTGACAAATTCAAACACACAATACGTTACTTGGTAATGTCAATCAAATAGAATTAATAATTTAAAAAAGACTGTAATGTGTCCCTTAATCTCATTTAGTTCCAGCAGAAATAAGTCATATTAGTTTTGTTTGTAAAAATACACATACAAAGACAAACAGTAGATATATTTTGCAACACACCTGTCTCTTTCACGCCGATGAGTCGCCAGCAAAAACTAGTATATATGAAATGTTAATGTTTTACTTTAATATGAAAGGGTGACTCGTTTACAAGTTTAACTGTTTCCTTATTACACAAGTTTGTCAAATAGAATGTGTGCTCTTAAAGTTTCGTTTTGGTATTCTATTATATGTATGTAATATATGTAAAGGAATGAATATTACTTGCAACACATATAAAACAATACGTATATGCTTACAATCTAGATGCCTTCGAGGCGAGAGTGAATATAATTTTTCTTGTATAGTACGATTACTAACGCAGGCTTTATGAAACTAAACATAAGTTGAGCCATAGTTAAGCACCATCCAGTTTGTGGAATAAAAATATATTTTTTTGCCCGAGATTTTTGTTGTATCAACAATAATCAATTATTATATATATATTATTGTATTAAGTTTTTTACTTTAATACTCACTGTCCATAGCCCTTTCAGTTAGTGCGTCTACAATGTATCTATCCTCGTCATCTTGTGGGATGTCGTTAAACGTAAGGTCAGCTCCATAGAACTCTTTTCCATTAGGGTACTGAAATTGATAAAAGATTTATGAAGATTATCACATAATTTAATAAAAAAACCATCTAACATTATTTTTCTAAACGAGTACAATAAGGCAATGGTTGCTTATTTCGTATGCTAGATACAAGTTTAATAGATAGTCAGTATTGTAACTAATAATATAGGGTGATACAAAGCATGTATTTGATTAACAAATGATGTACCTTTAACGACTGACGAAGATCTTTTCGAGTTAAGGAAGGATTTCTTTGATAAAAATTCATCGATTCTATTGATAACTTAGAAAGGATTGAATACTTTTCTAAATCTAAATCATTTTTGATTTTATTATTTTTAAAATCAAGTTTATAGTTTTTTTTTTAACATGAATTGTGGCAAACGAGCTGACGGCCCACTTGATGGAAGGTGGTTACCGTCGCCCATGAACATTCGCAACTTCTCTGTTGCGGATGCGTTGCCTACCTTGTTTTTTAGGGATAGGGAGGGGTGGGAATAACGAAATGGTAGGAAAGGGTAGGAATAGGGAAAGGGCAACCGGCTCTCTCACTCATCGGATGAAACGCAGCCATTAAAGGCTAATTTACGCCGATCTTCTGTGAGAGGGTGGTACTTCCTCGGTCGAGCCAGCCCATGTTGGAGCTGTAGTAACTGACTACAGCTAGGCTCTACCACCTTAAAAGTTTAGGTGTTAGTTAGTTTTGCTATAAGAGAGATTATTATCTGTTATTATATTTTAACTGTTTTGGAATTTTAATAAAATGTATTTTACTACTATTTCACACTCAAGATAACGCTTACAATGAGTAGGATTTTATATTTGAACATTTTTTAATGTTGACCCATTCATATATAGTTTAAAAAGGTTTTATTTGATAATTAGTTAAAAAAGCATACTTTATATTTTTTCTCACCACTCTTTAAAGGCTTTTTTTCACATTTTTGAGATACGATTTCAAAATAAGTCTCTGTTAGTACGAACAAAGGAGATGTATCATAAATTACAAATTTAATTTAAGTTATAGTTTGCCATAGTCCTTTCAATATTATTATAAGGAAGTACAGTAACAAACACATGCTTGTCTCTTATGAGAAACTCATAAATTAATATTACAGTATGTGTATAAAATTTAATATCGTGAATCATAGACTATAAAAGTGAAAATCGATCGGTACTTAAATAAAAGTTGAATATCATATTGAATGTATTCGGAATGATCTATTGGAATATCTTATAAAAAAAGTTAAACTACAACATTGAAATGAAAAGCTTAGATGGTATGTATAATTATTTGAAATTATTGAGACATTACCGCTCAACTTCATTATTATGAAACAGAGAAGGTGTACAGAATTACTTATAACCTTCAATATGACATTTTAACTCACCAGTTCAACGTGATTGTACGTATAATAATCCACAAATCCACCGAGAATTCCGTAATGACTGTCATATCCTCTTCTGGTTGGTAGGAACTGCTTTCGTGACATACCCACATGCCACTTACCGACCAAATGAGTTTGGTAACCTTTTTCTTTTAGATATGAAGGCAGCAGTCGCTCTGATATAGGAATGCCTCGATCTTCTGCATTAGATAGCGGCATTCCGTGCATACCTGTTGAAATTCCTCACTTAATTTATAAGTCTTATATATATTATAGAAAAAGAAATTAAACACTAAACATATGTATATAAAGATTATCATATAGGTTGTATAACTTTACAGACAGGATTAAACATCGATAGTTACAAGATACTTACATATATTTATGTATGAATATAATTTATTAATTATTATATAAGTCGTGACCGTCTGTGTTTAGTTTTAAAACGTGAAAAATAAGCAAGCAGTTCATATTAAGAGAATGTCGAATATCTCAAAATAATTGTTGTGTATTTGAATTACCACATACTAGCAAGTTATATATATATATATATATATATATATATATATATATATATATATATATATATATATATATATATATATATATATATATATATATATATATATATATGTATATATATATCTCTCTTTCAAATCCAGCTAATAGTTTTCGGATATACTGTGCATGCTTCATTTTTGTATGAAACTACATCCTTACGTTTCGGCTACTTTTCTGTCCGTGATCACGGTTGCTGAAAAGTAGCTGAATATGTAATGTAATAGGAGTATGTAGTTTTTTACAAAAATAAATCACTTGTAGTATATCCGAAAAATATTAGTTTCATTTAAATTAATAAAACAGGCAAAAGTTTTGATTCCATTACAAATATCTTGTTATATGAACTTCGACACTGACCTAGTCGCATAGGGTATTTGCCGGTGAGTAGCGCCGTACGTGCCGGAGTGCATACCGCCTCGCTGTAGTATTGTTGAAGTATCACACTCCTACTGGCCAATACGTCCAAGTTAGGTGTCAATATTTGATTAGATCCATGATACGAAACATCATTCCAACCCTGTCAACAATCCGGATATTCTATTGACTTGGGTAATTGAAACTATAATTTAATTAGACTGTAAACACAACGATACAGAATAGTAACAGCTACTTCTTGGATTTAAAGTTTTATTAAGAAGATTTCTTATTAAAGTTAAAGATTTTTTATTAAAGTTTTACTAAGAAGATTTTTAATCGAACCTACAACCATCAAAATATCGCATTCATTCTTGTAATATTTATGACTATTATTTTAAGTAAAATCATTTTCGAAATCAATCAAGTTTAATCGATTTTACCACAAAAATTTTATTATATATTAATAAAAAAAATTATACAGTTTGTTCAATTACATATATGTTTGTAAAATTTCTGTGATTCTCACAATCTATATTAGGTATTTTATTGAAAGACATCCAAGAAAAGTCAAAACAAAGGAAAATGTGTAAGTACTTCGTATATTATTTTAATTTAATAAAATTTATCTTCAACCAATTTTATATATGTTTTGTACGTTATCATAATATCTCGTTATTGAGAATCTTCAGAAAAATATACGAAATAAGCAGACCCTTTTCATTGTCATGAAGGAAGAAATATTATACGAACAAAATTAATAAAAATGACATCTGTATTATATAACAATATATAAAGAATATCTCTATCATGATCTGTTCATTAAATTATTTATCTAACAATAGAGAGAACGGTAAAAGTTTTATGACGACATAATAATTTTTGAAAAATTGTAATAATATTTATTATGCTTATACTCTAAGTTTATTGGGAATATAATAAGTTTATTTTTGACATAAAACAGTATCCATTACTTCGAAGGTTTTAAAATGAGATAATTTCTATATTTATAACGCATCGTTATAAATACACTTATACATGATACCTACATATTATTAGTATTTATAAATATTAGTTACATAGTTAATTTGTTGATAATAATAATCATTTATTTCAGACCAAATTACATAGATCCACATAGTGTTAGTACATTACAAATTGAACTTAATAAATGAATTGGTTAGTAAATTTACAAAAGTAAAGCAAAAGCAATTTTATTTATGACACTTTTTTTTACTAATTTTAAACTACACATATATTTTACTTGACTACGTGGAGTCGTATCCAGTGTGCTAAAATTGGTAAATCCCAGTTAACAGTAATAAAACTACGAATGTCATTGGCGATTGTCGTAATGTTCAAATTCTGACAATGTGGGGTGGTGTGTTAGTTTACAGACGTATTAGTTTACAGTCGAAACCTTCTTAGTAACTAATACACCTATTTCTAATATTAATTAGAATCTTAAAATGATTTATAATTCAAGGTTGAATAATTTCAAAACAAGATTCGACGTCATTATTATAAAAGTTTCTTACAATAACAGAGTTTACCCAAATTGTAATTTTGCAAAAACGACTGTGGAATTTAAACAGTTTATATTTAAATACTAACATATTTCTATGAATTTATCTTTTATGTCACAAAACCCGTGACCGTGAGACACACTGTGAAGTATACAATGAAAAACAAATAAGTGATATAAGAAATATTATTGATTTCTGTACGAAATAGTTTAATTTTATTCAATTTTTTTTTTGTTGATGGAAGAACTGCTTTGCTTATCTTTTCACAGTTTCGTAATTCCAATTATTATAGGTCCAACTTATACAACAACTTGATAAATTAACAACAATGTAACAAACTGAAACAGTAGTTGTTTGTTTTTCAAACAAAGGAAGCAATTCTGATGTTCAAAAACGTATTTGCACCAAAAGGGTCTATGAAAGAATTATTTTATTCGATTACATTGTAAGGATCACCTACAAATCTGTATTGTTTGTTTTATATTTGAATTAAATAAGGCTAAAGTCTCACCATATCATCCACCATAATAAATAAAATGTGAGGGGAGGCTTGTGAAGTCACACTGCGTGAAAATACTACGAGTAGCACACATATTTTCCACCTGTGAAAGAGAAATATAATTAATTTCTTATCACCAGCTTAAACTTACAAATGAAGGTATCTTTAAACAGATGCCCTAACGCTATTTTTCCAATTTGATGAGATTCAAAGAGGTAGTAGAAGGTATCCCGACTGAACGTTGGGAATCCTTTGTAATCACATGCGAATGAATACCAACAACAAGTATAGACGTGATATGCACGAATTGTTTGGAGTTATTGAGTTTAATCACATACATATAAGAAATAAAAATACGCTTCAATATGTACACCAAAAAAGTAATTAGAGGAAATGAGGCACAACAAGTGACTATATGAGTACTTTAAAGAATTGCAAAATATTTGTCTAATAGTTAATAGTTCGTTACTAATAGTTTGTTACTTAACAGCAATTTTTTATCCGGTTTGTTATCTATATTAATAAGTCATAGTTAACAAGAATAACGTTGTGTGACAATATAATTGTATATAATACCAAAACGGGCAAATTAATAAATTAATTAATGTAACTGAACCAAGTAAAACGTTACATGATAATATTCTATGTTTAAATTCCAGAATAGTTCAAATTATTTAGAATCATAGAAATTAAACAAAGATTTGACGTTGGTTAATAAGTAGAAATTAAAATTAATTTATTTTTATTACCTGTGTAATAAATAAAATTTAATTGTTTTCGAATTTGCAAAAGACAATATTAATAAATATTTTATTATTATTCATATTTAAAAAATTGTTATCCTTAACAACAATATTTTTATTTATTAGAATTATAGATGCAGTATTTCAATCAAATTATTATAATCATACTTTACGAAATATTCTGAGGTTAAAATAATGTTTAAAAATGTATGGTAACACATATATACATCACAATTCTTTTGTATTCACTGAGTTTTAATTAGTGAGCTATTAAGATACGCAAACGAGTTGAGAAACATTTTTAATGTCATTTTCATTTTTCCTGTCTAGCCACTATCTTTATTATGTTAAACCTATTTTATATTTGAATAGAAATGTGAATTGAAACAAAAACTACTATTTAGCAAATAAAATACAAAGTCACAATGATATTTCGTTATCACGGCCGTCTGCCTGTGATCACGATTGCTGAAAAGTAACTAAAACGTCGGGAGTATGTAGTTTTTACAATAATAAAATACGCATCGTATAATCCAAAAAATATTAGTTTAATTTAAAAGATATTTCGTTAGCCGTAAGGATTATAACGAACTTGTAGATTCCTATTAGTTACTATTGTACAGACCTAAATTTGTTAAATAGATGAAAGAGATTAAAAATACAGATTTAACAATAAAACAGGGTTCGTTAATTTAACAATGCAATAGGAAAGATATAAAGATTATACATGAATCATCTCAGAGCTAAGAGCAATTGTGTTACGATGAAACCTATTATTAGTTCGTAATTAACAAAATTGAAAAATATCCAAATGAAAAATATTAAAAATTAATATCTCGGCAATAATTTTTTTTTTCTTTTTCGATATTTTTTTATATATTTCTTATGTTATAACTGTGGCATACAACTAAGGTATTCAAATTTGCGCAGTCTTAAATCAAAAACACACGAACTACTTGAAGCTATTGTTCTTAGAGTTAAATATTTTCATTTTTCCAATCATAATAATCAGTTGGGTCATTTGCCAACCTCGTTAGGTATATTGTAAGAATAAAAATATTGAACTATTCTGATCTTTATTATAAATTAGTGATACAGTCAATAAATAAATAAAAAACATAAAAATCCCTAATAAAGTGAAAAGAAAAACAGGAACAACAAATCATTTATATCTATTTTTGAGGTAATTTAGTTTTATAATTTCTTAATAGTTTTACATCTAAAACTGAAAATATATATAAAAAACTTACCATATTATATAAAATTTTTCAAACATATTAATTTAAAAGATATCACTATTTATTATATTAAAAAATATATATATTGTATCAATAACAAATAAATTTTTATTAGTTAGTGGCGAACACCCACGCAAACCTACAACGGACCCAGAACTGAAGTTGTGAAGGTGGCCCGCAAATGACTGTTGCAAAAGAATTCACACCATTATTAAACCTATCTCTGAGACAATTGCTATCAAGAAACGTCACGCAAGAAAGGTTACTCTTATCCCAATGATAAATTTCATGTTTACGAAGGACTTAAAAATATACAGATAAATAAAAATTATAATACCTCACCATAACTCATCACCTTCTTCCAGGGGCCAGTATAGCTTTTTACTTGAGAATATCGACGAAATATAATTGTACAAGTGATGTTAAAACTATTTTCTTTTACAATAGCAGAGAATGATACATTTTTATCATAACAAAGGCTGTTCCTCTTCTTCTTCTTATAAATGGCAATTTTCCAGCTTTAGCCAGGGTCTGCCTAACTGCTTAACCTCCTCCACTTTGCACGGTCTTTGGCATCCCCGGTGGTTAGTCCATTGGCTCTCATATCCTGCTTCACGGTGTGCAGCCATCGCTTCTTTGGGCGTTCTGAGGATCTTGCTCCAGGGAAAGGCAGATTAAGGCAAATTCTTTCGACGAAGTTCGACGTAGACCGGCATGCAACGAGGCCATACCGTCTCAGGCGACTCTCTTGAAGCTTATCCGCTACATCACGGACTCCAAGACGTACGTATTACGTATGCGGTCAGCCCGCGTAATGCCATACATCCACCTCAGCATCTTCAAGCGCACCAAGAGAGCCCAAAAATTACCACGCTTCAATCGGTATATCGTCAGGTCCCACGGCTTTCCGATGCTTTATGCGTCGAAGACAATTTCGAGTTTCGTTAGGTTTTATCGGGGCACTAAGTCCAAGAATAGGAGGTAGTTTAGTTGGAAGACTGCACGAGTGCTGAGTATTTAGCAACTCCTTGAACTAGCGTCTCCGTCTCAATCGCAATAGCTCTTTACTTACATTACGTTTATTATGGAAATGTATTGTCATTTTCAATACATTTTTC